CTCCCCCTATATCTTCTGCTGCAGCCCTCGACGGTTTCCCCAACACTCCTGGGGCTCTGGTTCAGCCGGGAGCCTGGGTCACCTTAGACACGACTGCCTTTCTCCGCTCACAAAGCACCCCTGGTGTAAGGTGCTTGTCGTGCACAATCGCCTTCTACTTGAGTTTTAGGGATGGAGCTGTCTGGAGCCCCAGACCACGATAGGAAGCTACAGAAACTCAAATACCAGACATCATTGTCTTTCTCATGAGCCTTCCCTTGTCATGATATACAGGGTCCACTTCCTCCCAACCACCTCTCCTCCTTCCTCTGGACTAGCCCTCCCATCTCAAGGTTCCCTACCAAGTGTTTATCAGATACCGGGTGAAAGTCAGAATTATGATTTTATTCAGAGCAATTCAGCTCTTCATCTCCTACTGTCTATTCCAAACTGTGCATTTGTCTTTACAACTAAAAAGGCTGCCGAAATATTTTCCTAAACCACCGTAACACCACTTCTTTCCGAAGTTAAAATTGTTGCCTCCCAATGCAAATCAAGACCGCAATGAGATATCACTTTGTACCAATTATGATGGCTTTAATTTTTTAAAAAATGGAAAACAGCAAGATTTGGCAAGGATGTGGAGAAATTGGAACTCTTGTGTGTTGCTGGCGAGAGTGTAACATAGTACAGCCACTGTGGAAAATAGTTTGGTGGTTTCTCAAAAGGTTAAACATAGAGCTACCCTATAACCCAGCAATTCTACTCCTAGGGATATGTCCAAAAGAATTTGAAAACAGAAGACCAAAATGGGTACTTATACACCACTGTTCATAGCATTATTCAGAAGGTGGAACCAACCCAAGTGTCTATCAACAGATGAACAAAACATGTATGAATCTTTACACGTAAGAGAATATTCAGTCACAAAAAGGAATAAAACCTTGATACATGCGACAGCATGAATGGACCTTGAAGACATTATACCGAGAAGCCAGATACGGGAGAATAAATATTACATGATTTCTTAGATGAGATACCTAAAATTCATAGAGACAAAGCAGAAGAGCGGCTACCAGAAGTTGGGGGTGGGGAGAAGAGTTGTTGTTGAAGGGGTGGAGTTCTTCTTGGAAACAATAAAAAGGTGTTGGGTTTAGACGGTGGTGATAGGCACACGACACTAATGTATTGAATGTCACTGAACTGCACACTTAGAAATGTTAAAATGATCAGTATTACACAGTGTACCAAATGCAAATTGGCACCTCCCCCAAATTCTCCATTTTTCATTTTGTTTGTTTCCATAGAAGAAACTTTAAATGCATCACCTGAAACGCAGTGACCTGGAAACTCACAAATAAGCCCTACAGTCTAATGAGGCAATTAACCATCACACAGGCATATATGGAGCGCCTACTATATACAAAGCACACACAAGGGTAGAAGAAACTTGGCAGAAGGAAGGGACAAAGATAAGTAAGTTCCAGGTTGTGTTTTTAAAGAAAAGTTGACAGATTTAGCAAGTAAAAATATTTGAACTTCAAATATACTATCCCATACAACATTTGGGATATGATTTTACTGAAAATTATAATTATAAATTGTTTATCTGAAGTTCAAACTTGAGCGGGTGTCCTACAGCCCTGATGGAATGGATTTGGTTCAGTCAGGATCATAAGATGTTCCAGTATCACCAGAATATGAGATATAGTTAGCCAAGCACCAAAAGGCTGAGAATTTCGTGGTGGTAGTTATTGTACTTAATTCTGAATGATCTGTTTTAGGAGGGTACAAATAGGTGTATCTATGAAGTTATTAAATGGAGTAAATGGGCTATTTTCCATAATTTTCCTTCCACAACCCTTTGGACAAGCATGTTTCTCTGTTAATAACATTGCTCCACATACACTGAATAAACACTTGAGGACATGGCTCTGTTACAGGCAGGCTCGGCACCAGAGACAGAGTAGGGCACCAGACATTGCCCGTGTCTTCATGGAACTGTGGAGTGAGGGAGACCGAAAGCAGGGAGGGCATGCTGCCCTTAGGTTAAGTAGCCACTTGGGTTGCCACCACCTTATGTCAGAGTGCCAGTTTGGGTCCTGGCTACTCTGCTTCTGATCCAGCTTCCTGCTAATACAACCTGGGAGGCAACAGATAATGACTTAAACACTTGGGCTCCTGCTGCTCACTTGGGAGGCCCAGATGGAGTTTCTGGCTCTTGGCTTTGGCCTGGCCTGGCCCTGGCTGTTGCAGGCTTTTGGGCAGTGAGGAAACAGATGGATGCTTTCTCTCTGTGTGTCTCTCAATATTTCTTCCTGTCCCCCTATATGCCCTCTCACACCATTACTCTGCCTTTCACATAGATGAAAACATTTTTTAAAATAAGTGGGGGCTGGTATTGGGGCGTAGTGGGTTAAACCATGGGCTCAATGCCAACCTCCTGGATAGGCATTGGTTTGTGTCCTGGCTGCTCCACTTCCCATCCAGCTCCCTGCTAACGCGCCTGGGAAAGCAGCAGAAGATGGCCCAAGTTCACAGAGGTGATGTAGTGGACAGCAAGAAGGAGATTGGAAGCCTTGTCACATGCTCTACAACCTCCTCCTACTTTTTTTTTCTTTTTAAGATTTTATTTATTTACTTGATGGTAAGAGTTAGAGACAGAGAAAAAGAAGTCTTCCATCTGCTGGCTCACTCCCCAGATTGCTGCAAAGGCTGGAGCTGAGCTGGTTCGAAGCCAGGAGCTTCTTCCTGGTCTTACACGCAGGTGCAGGGGCCCAAGGACTTGGGCCGTCTTCTACTGCTTTCCCAGGCCACAGCAGAGAGCTGGATCAGAAGTGGAGCAGCGCCCATGTGGGATGCCAGCACTGCAGGTGGCAGCTTTATTTGCTACACCTCAGCACTAGCCCTAACCTCCCCCTACTTTTAAAGACATCAAGAACTCATGGGTATTAGCTTGAACTGGTTGACCCATCCAGGAAAATCTCTGAGAAGTTAATTAATCAGGGCCCTGATATCCTCTCTTTTTTAAAAAACTATTTATTTATTTATTTGAGAGGCAGCGAGAAAGGTGTTCCATCCACTGGTTCACTCTCCAGTTGGCCACAATGGCCAGAGCTGGGCTGATCTGAATCTAGGAGCTTCTTCCAGGTCTCCCATGCAGGTGCAGGGGCCCAAGCACTTAGGCCATCTTCCACTACTTTCCCAGGCCATTGCAGGGAACTGGATTGGAAGAGGAGCAGCCGGAACATGAACTGGTGCCATATGGGACACCAGCACTGTAGGCAGAGGCTTAGCCCACTACACCATGGCGCCTGGCCTTCTGATACCTTCTTAAAAGAAGCTTTCTCCTCCTTCCTTTTCAGGCGCTGCATGCCACCAATTCCCAGAGCCAAATCTCTACACAAGAAACCACCAGCCTGGTGGGAATTGCTTTCCTGATGCCTAAACTCAGAATCCTCTTATTTTTCTTTATAACATCTATCACAGCCTTTTAAAATTTACATATTTTATTTAATTTGAAACAGTTATAGAGAGAGGAAGAGACAGATCTTCCATCCACTGGTTCACTCCCCTGATGGCCAAAATGGCTGGAGCTGGGCCAGACTGAAGCCGGGCACATGAGTACAGGCCCCAAGCACTTGGGCCATTTTCTGCTGCTTTCCCAGGCACATTAGCAGAGAGCTGGATCAGAAGTAGAGCAGCCAGGACTTGATCCGGCACCCATAAGGGATGCCAGCATTGCAAGCAGTGGCTTAACCAGCTACGCCACAGTGCTGGCCCCACAAATTTGAAAAGAATCATTTATTTGATAGAATGACAGGAAGAGGAAGAACCAGAAAGAGATCTTCTATCTCTGGTTCACTCCCCAAATTCCTACAACAGCTAAGGCTGGGTCAGGCCAAAGCTAGGAGCTGGGAACTCCATCCAGGTCTCCCATGTGGGTGGCAGGGACCCAAGTACTTAGCCCAATTTCTGTTTTCAGAGGCACACTAGCAGGGAACAAGATCAGAAGTAGAACAGCTGGGACTTGAACCAGCATTCTGATACTGGATGCTGGTGTTGCAGGTAAGGACCCAACCCACTGCACCACAAAGCTGGCTCCTACCACAATTCTGAACTACACAATTATCTATGATTGCTGACTGTCTTCCTAGTAGACTGTAAGTTACATATGGACTGGGAAGCGGTGGTCATTTAATATTTTCTTAATAAATGAAAACACTCCCCTTTGGAACTTTTTAAGCATTAAGTGTCTTTGTACACCCATTGTGAGTTAGCTAGTACCAATCCCTCCACAAACAGGGCCTTCAAAGGTGAGGCAGGATTGGAGGCAGAAAAGCCCCTGGGTTCGGATCCCTGGGTCCCCTTGGAGCTCTGCCACTTCCTGTGTGAAGCATCCGACCAGGCTCTTAGCTCAGTTTCCTCTTTTATTCAGAATTCCTGGAACATCACGTGCCACCCTCCTAGCCTCTGCCGTAGAGCTTAGGACAAGAGCAAACTCACTCATGGGCTTCGGTTTCTAAAGCGCAGGTCAGGGATTGGTATTCAGAAAATTACAAAAAGTCCGTTAAGTGTGTCTGGTAAATGGTGATGAGTTGAAGGGGGTTGGATGAGGGGGAAAAAGAACGAGAGGAGGGAGTGTGTACGTCAAGGGAGAGAGAGTTTCAATTTCAGAAAATGATGCTCAATGAAAGGTTCCTTGAGGCAGAAGCGTTTGTAAAATGGAACTACCGGGTCTATTTATCACGCTTGTGGGGAAGACCTGACAAGACAATATTCAGTCCATAAGACAAAACAAAAACAGTGACAGGGCCAGACTAAGGAGTCCCCCAGGGAAACAAGCCCGGCGACCTTGGTCGGGGCGGAACGGTAGTCGCGGTGGAATGTTGTTCCCATCGGAACTCTGGATGGACCGGAAAGTCGCCCCGGGGAGGCAACATCAGTTACGGACCTCAGGCAGGGGCGGGACTTGGGACTCGTGTTACCCTGGCAACGACGCGCTCCCGGAAGGTGGTGCGGGGGTGGGACTTGCGGCGGAAGTTGTCTCTTTACTGCCTGCAGAAAGTGGAAGAGGATGTCTCCTTTGTGGTGGCAGCTGGGCCTCGTCCTCTGCAGCCTCCTGGCGGGGCCGGCGGTGGCTCCGAAGCCCACGGAGCCGTCGGAGGGGAGCCGGCCGTATGCCGTGCTGCGCGGGCAGAACCTCGGTGAGCGGCCTCGGGGTGCCGGGTGCCGGGGTCTGGCCTGCGTTGCCCTCGTTTTGGGCAGGAGCCTGGCACGCAGTGCAGGTGGACAAGGTTGGGGTTGAGGGTAGCAGGGGGGCCGTTCGTGGAGCCCCGCGAGCCCTCTTCCAGAGGCGCGGGCAGCGGGTTGGAGCTTTGCGGTGTGCTGGCTGCACCCGAGTGAACGAGGAAGCTTGGTAGCCGCCTCTGTGGCTGGCGGGCCCAGGCGAGGCAGCGAAGCCCATCATTCACCAGCGCTGCTGTTTCCCAAAAGGGCCCGTACTTGCAGTCATAACAGGAACTGACCCCTTGTTTAGCATTTGCTACATGGCTGCAAACGTGTTGTGCCAAGCACTTGGTGTAGCGAATTCATTTGAACCTAATGAGAAAGGCACGGGTTTTTGTTTTTGTTTGTTTGTTTGTTTTTCAGGCTTGTTTTACAGATCAGAATTAAACTCCGAGAGGTGAAGTTATTTGCCCAATCTTAGGGACTGGGGGGAGGGCCGTACTGGAATCTGGGTTTTATGGGACTTGAGACTTGGGGGATAGGCATAGAAGTTCTTGGAAAATGGGATTAACAGGCCAATTTTTATGCATATTGAGGGGTCTTCAAGTTCTTTGTGAAAATATATATTATGGAGAAACTATGCGTGGGTTTCAGAATTATGTGCACCTGAGTATACTTATCTAGATGTTAATTCCACTTCCCATGTACCTTTTTTTTTTTTTCCCTTGAACATTTATTTGAGAGGTAGAGTTAGAGAGAGAGAGAGAGGTCTTCCATCCACTGGTTCACTCCCAAAATGGCTGCAATGGCTGGGGCTGGGTCTATCTGAAACCAGGAGCCAAGGACTTGGGCCATCTTCTACTGCTTTCCCAGGCCACAGCAGAGAGCTGGATTGGAAGTGGAGTCGCCGGGATTTGAACCGGCGCCCATATGGGATGCCAGCACTGCAGGCGACGGCTTTCCCCACTACGCCACAGCGCCGGCCCCTCTGTGTGCTTTTTGCAGTACTCTTGTGTGTCCATGCGGAGCCCTGGAGTTTAAAGCTTGGCTTACTTCTCAGTAAGTCTGCCTCTTCTACCAGCACCCTCTGCCCCACCCGCGAGACGAGAGTTCCCGCGTAGTGCCAGCTGTGGATTTTCTTGACTGCATGAACTCAGTGTCTGCCATGCATGGACCACTTTTTCTTTTTTAAAAGTATGTTGGCAGTGTTGCATTTCTAGCTTTAAAGTTCTTTATTTCTTTGAAAGGAAGAGTGCGAAGAGAGAGAGTCTTCCATCTGGTAGTTCACTCTCCAGATGCCAGTGCGAGGCCAGGCCAAAACTAGGAGCCGTGAACTCCATCCGGGTCTCCCACGTGGAGCCAGAGTACTCGGGCCATCGTCTGCTGCCTCCCAGGCACATTAGCAAGAAGCTGTAGACTCGGCTGAGTACCTTCTGGCTTTCACATCATGGGACTTAGCGTTTTCAGCTCTTTATGTTTGGAGTTTCTTTATGTTTGGAGCCTTCAAGCTCCTCCCTTCCAGCTGCTTGTAAAATATGTAAGTTACTATGTGAGCAGTGGCCGCCCCACCGTGCTGTGGGACCCCAGGCACAACCTTTGTGGCTGTGTTTTGGCAGGATTTCATTCTTGTTGATGGCTGGAAAAATTCCATGGTGTGTATTTGCGATCGTCGGTCCGTTCACCCGTCTGTCCATCCGTCCATCCGTGGATCCTCCGCTTGATTCCGTGTCTTGGCTGTTTGCTGCAGTTTCGCTCCCCACCGAGGCGCGGGACGGCTGAGTCGTGTGGCGGATCCGTTTTCAGTTCTCTAAGGAACTTCCGTAGGTGCTTCATGATGGCTGCACTAATTTGCGTCCCCACCAAGAGCGTGGAAGGGTTCCCTTTTCTCCATATCCTTGGCAGCATTTATTTTTTTCTGTTGCGTTAACAGCCCTTCTGACTAGGGTAGGTGATATTTCATTGTGGTTTTGACTTTGACTTCTCTGATGGCCAGTGATATCGGGCCATTGAGCAATGTCTATTCAGATCATTTGCCAGTTTCTTAAGTTGGGTTGTTTTTTGAGTTCTCTGCCTGTCCTGGATGTCAGTCCTTCGCATATAACTCGTTTGCAGGTGTTTTCCCTTATTCTGTAGGCTGGTTCTTCATTCTGTTGATGGTTTCTTTTGCCATGCAACAGCTTCTTAGTTGTCTGTTTTTTGCTTCTGAGAGCTTATGCATGAAACCATTGCCTGGGTTGATATCATGAAGTGTTTCACCTTGTTTTCTCCTGGTGGTTTCATAGTTTCAGGGTTACATTTAGTTCTTTGATCCAGTTTTCCAGCACCATATATTGCCTTTGTCAAGAACGGGTTGGCCGTGGATACTGAGTTTATTTCTGGGATCCCTGTACTATTCCATTGGTCTGTGTGTGTCTGTTGTTACGGCAGTACCATGCTGTTTGACTGCTATCGCTCTAGGAAATCATGTGTTCCTGAAAGGTACAGGGGTGGGGGAGAGACAGCTCCCATCCGCCGGTTCACTCCACAGATGAAGCTGGGAGCTTCATCTGGGTTTCCCACGTAGGTGTCAGGGACCCAAGCACTTGGGCCTTCTCCCACTGCTTTCCCAGACCATTAGCAGGGTGCTGGGTCAGAAATGGGGCAGCCAGGACTCAAACCGGCCCCTATATGGGATGCCATGTTGCAGGTGGCAGCTTAACCCACTGTGCCATAGCACCGGGCCCTGGAGTCGGGTTTCTCAACCTGAATACTGACAGGTCAGGTCAGATGATTCTGTTTCGGCGGAGGAGAGCTGTCCTGCACTCCGCTCGGTGTTTAGCAGCGTTGCCAGCCTTTGCCCTCTGGATGCTGAGCGCACTGCCCCATCCCCAGTCGGGAGATGCCGGCGCCTCCTGACGTTCCCGGAGGTTCCGTGGGAGCACAGCGCTCCTGGCTGAGCACCTCCGAGGGTGCAGTGAATCTGCAGAGGCGACTGCAGAGATTGGAGATGTTTTGAAACTTAACAACTGGGGCCGGCGCTGTGGCACAGCGGGTTAAGGCCCTGGCCTGAAGTGCTGGTATCTCATATGGAAAGCAGTGGAAGATGGCCCAAGTCCTTGGGCCCCTGCACCCACATGGGAGACCTGGAAGAAGCTCCTGGCTCCTGACGACAGATCAGCTCAGCTCCGGCCATTGCGGCCATCTGGGGAGTGAACCAGCGGATGGAAGACCTCTCTCTGTCTCTACCTCTCTCTGTAACTCTGTCTTTCAAATTAATAAATCTTTAAAAAAGAAACTTAGTAACGTGTTGTTGCAATCTCCAAGCAAGTAGAGATCTGAACTGGATGTCCCTGCACCGGAATGCTTGGCAGGTGAAGGGAACTGCGTGTTAGTCTCACGGTTAGGACATGTACAGGTCTGGGACAGGCTAGAAATGACAGAAACCAGTCTTTCTCGCGGAGCTTGAGAAATGCTGCCCTAGCATTCCTGTGCATGCGGTGTTTTCATCCTGTTTTTTTTTTTTTTTTTTTTTTATTTATTTATTTTTGATTTTTTGACAGGCAGAGTGGACAGTGAGAGAGAGAGAGCCAGAGAGAAAGGTCTTCCTTTGCCGTTGGTTCACGCTCCAATGGCCGCCGCGGCCGGCGCGCTGCGGCCGGCGCACCGCGCTGATCCGATGGCAGGAGCCAAGAGCCAGGTGCTTTTCCTGGTCTCCCATGGGGTGCAGGGCCCAAGCACCTGGGCCATCCTCCACTGCACTCCCTGGCCACAGCAGAGGGCTGGCCTGGAAGAGGGGCAACCGGGACAGAATCCGGCGCCCCAACCGGGACTAGAACCCGGTGTGCCGGTGCCGCAAGGCGGAGGATTAGCCTAGTGAGCCGCGGCGCCGGCCTTCATCCTGTTTTAACAGAAAAGGAAACCGGCCGAGTGGCTTCAGTGAGGGCGCACAGCTGGTCAGTGTGCAGGGGAGCCCAGGCGATCGGACCCCAGATCCTGACTTCCTGGCCGCTGTGCTCTGCTCCTGCCTTGGTCTCTGACGGCTCTCGTTGACTGTGTGCTTCTTGTGCGTCCAGCACTGGAGAGTCCTTTTCAAAAGCAACCGTGCCTGAAGTTTAGCCCCCAGAAACCCTGTCATGGTGGGTTTTGTTTGTTCCAGTTCCTAGATGCAGAAAGTGAGACTCGGGATGGGACGTGGCCTTAAGGAGAGGCTGGAAGTCTCTGTGAGGGCTCTGTCTGGTGGTGGTGGGCGTTAAGCCTAGCAGATCAGACACGCCTCCCACATCAGAGTGCCTGGGTTCAGTTCCTGGCCCCAGATCCTGACGTCAGCTCCCAGCCTTTGCACACCCTGGAGGCAGCAGGTAATGGCTCAGGTAACTGGGTTCCTGCTGGCCCTGTGGGAGACCTGGGTTGGGTTCCAAGCTCCCAGCTTCTACTCCAGACCAGGCCCCGTGGTTGTGAGCATTCTGTGAGTGAGCCAGCGGCTGGAAGTGCTCTCTGCCTTCCCACCTTACCCCAAAAAATGATCTGCTGGCCCTGGGCCCATTCAAAGTACAGGGAGAGGTTTAAAAAAAGATTAAAAAAAAAATTGGAGGATTTACCAAGTCCCAAGTGGATACTGTGTACCTAATAATTCCTGATTTGAAGTTTTGTTTTTAAGCAGCTTTCCATCCCCAAAACTCCAGTCCTTCCCTTCCTGCTTTAGGAGTTTTAAATTTTTTAGAACCCTTCCAAAATGTAAACTTCAAGAAAATGAGTTAAGTGGAGTTAAGACAACTTTCAGTCCTATTGTGGTCGGAATCTTAGAAGCTTTGCATTCAGGATTTGTGAACATTAGGGCAGGTATTCTGTAAACAAGGGCTATTTTGACATATGACATGAAGCTTGCGTAAGTCCTAGATTTTGTTTAACCAAGACCTTAAGATTACTTCTGGCCTTTTGCAGTGTGACATTGTCATTGTTACCTTTTCCTCCCTTCCACCCCCTCACTCGCCAAAAAAAGATGATCTTTCTGCATAATGACTGGGTACACCATGGAGAAGTAGCAGAGGGAGTCCCTCAACAGGTGCACAGAAATCAGGGATTGAAGTAAAACTGGGGTCACACCTTGGTTTCTCGAAGGACCAGTAAGCACAAGGAGAACAGCCGTGGGCAGGCTTCCATCGGGGCCTGGGTTGGGCCCCCAGACACACTGCCCAGTGCACTCGCCTGTGGGGCTGTCGTGCGGAAGCTTCCCCAGACGGCCCGTCTCCTCTGCACTGCGTGAGCCTCTGCGGGTTGCTGGTGGCTGAGGTGAAGCCCAGGCCCTTGTCATCCTGAACCTCTGAGCCGCAAACTGAGCTCTCAGGTGTAGGTCCTGTTTCCCACCTGAGCACCATGCAGCTTCTTTTTATTTTTAAAAATATTTATTTATTTATTTGAAAGGCAGAGTTACAGATAGGCGGCGGGGGGCGGGGGGGTCTTTCATCACTGGTTCACTCCCCGATTGGCCGCAACGGCCGGAGCTGTGTCAATCCGAAGCCAGGAGCTTCTTCCAGGTCTCCCACGTGGGTGCAGGGGCCCAAGGACTTGGGCCATCTTCTACTGCTTTCCCAGGCCATAGCAGAGAGCTGGATGGGAAGTGGAGCGGCCGGACGAACCGGTGCCCATATGGGATGCCGGCACTGCAGGTGGCGGACTTTACTGCTACGCCAGAGCGCCAGCCCAATTCTTTTTATTTTTAAGATTTATTTTATTTATTTGAAAGTGAGAGTTAGGGAGAGACAAGACAGAGATCTTCCCTTTGCTGGTTCACTTCCCAAATGGCCATGATGGCTAGGCCAAAGCCAGGAGCCAGGAGCTGCTTCCACGTCTCCCACATGGGTGCAGAGGCCTAAGTTCTTGAGTCGTCCTCAGCTGCTCTCCCAGGCACATTAGCAAGGAGCTGGTTCGGAAGTGGAGCAGCCGGGACTCGAACCAACGCTCATGTGGGAAGCCAGCACTGCAGGCAGAGGCTTAACCCTCTGCAACACAGCACCGGCCCCGAAGATTCTTGACGTGAAAGTTGCTCTTGACGACATACAAAGCCTGTGAAGTTAGTTGTTTGCTCCTAGGGCCCTAGTCAAGACGCCTGTAGAGACTGAGACGTTACTGCATCCCCAGATGTCGTTAACTCTACAGACACGCTCGGCCCCTGGGATGCAGTGGTCCACTCGCAGCCAGAGGGATGTTTCCCAGCTGAATCGGGGCTGTCACCTTCCACCTCCAGCCCTCCAGTGGCTTCTCTTAGAGTAAAATCCACGTCTCCTTCGTGGGCTCGGAGGCCTGCTGCCTTCCTGTCTGGCCTCCCTTCCTGTTTCTCTCTTCCCATCCTGCTCACAGAACGTGCCGGGCTTCCGGCCTCTGTGGCCTCGCGTCTCCCGTCCTTGGGCCGGCAGCTCTGCGCCTGCCGGGCTGCGCGCTGTGGCTCCTCCGTCCCTCCCTCCTGCCAGGACACACTGTTTGTGTGACAGCTCCTGGGAGGCTTCCTTGAGCGTTCTGCCACGGTCGCCCACCGCCGCAGTGCTGCCGTGTTCCTGGCAGAGCAGCCCCGAGAGGGGCCCTTCCTTGTTTCTGTGCAGGTGGGGGAGACGACCGGACGGGGGGTCTGCTCACAGCTGCCTGCCTGGCACGAGGGGCGTTTGGTAAGTTGCCACCAGTGACTGCGAGGAGCTGGAGCTGCCTCAGCAGGTAACCTGTTCTCCCTTTGCAGTGCTGCTGGGAACCATTTTCAGCGTCCTGCTGGTGACCACCATCCTCCTGGCGTTCTGTGTCTACAAGCCCATCCGGCGTCGGTGACTGCCCAGCACGCCAGCATGGCCACAAGCACTCGGGGACAGGATAAGTTGTGTTGCGCGTGGGCCAGTGCAGAAGTTGGAATCAGAACTTGGAAATGACCTTTGGTGTGGACAGTTGGTAAATGTGACACGATTTAGGGACACCTCACCTAGCGATTATTTTCTTTCTGACACTGCGATGTGGCTCATGGGTCACTGGGACCGCTTCTCGGTGTTTGATTTGATATCTGGCTGTACCTCTAAGCCCTGAAGCTCCAGGGTTCCGTGGGGAGGTGGGTGCTCAGGAGGAAGAGAACAAGGTAGCCCCTGGGTATCTGCAAGCAACGCCCCCGAGAGGACTAATCACTGGTGCTTGAAACGGTAATAAGAGGGAGACTGGACAGGTAGCCATGCCCTGCTTAAGAGCCCTTCGGCTGCAAATCCTTTTCCTTAACGCTGAGCGAACCTAGAATGCCTGTTAACAAAGCAGCGTCAGCCGTGGGAACTTGGGCCTGCACTCCTCCCACACCTGCCTGTGTGTCTGCGGGTCTCACTGCAGCCAGGGCCTCGTCAGGCAGGCCTGCTTCCGGGTGGCCCCTGGCCTGGAAGGTTCTGAGGCTGGACCGGGGGTGTTACTAGTGGGCCCTTCTGGAAAAAATAAAATACAGCTCCATCCTGCTGAGACACAGGATTGCACTTAAGTCTGCAGCCCACGGCTTCAAACTTGAGGGAGGTTTTTTTTTTTTTTTTTTGCAGCCCAGCTGACAGAAGTGCATGACCCCTGTGCAGGCTGCTGTGTTTACTCAGCTTTGAAATGCTGCTATTAGTTTGCACTGTTGGTTAACTGGATTTTTTTCCCCCTTACTGAAATGTTTTCATGCTTGTAAAGTGGTTATCGGTATTTATTTAAGGGTGCTAGAGTTAATTTCCTTTGTTACTAGAGCGAGATGCTTGTCTTGTGCTCCATTTAAGCACAGCACTGATTTTTTTTAACAGCCCGCATTTAATGTGAAATAACTGGTGTGGAATACTGTAACTGTTCAACTTCAGGATTTTGTTTGTAACCTAATAACAGTGAGCCACTGTAACGTTCTGTACTGTGCTTGTGAGCAAATTGTCAATAAGAATTAAAGTGAAACCCTACATTCTGTTATTCCTAGTAATTATTCCCAGGTGTCTACTATGTGGGGGTAGGGCTGTGTGTATGTGTGTGTCCGTGTGCGCATGCGCGCACATCTGCATCAGACCTAGTCTCCTAAGGCATAGCATGCTGATCGGAGGGAGGGACCCTGAGACACTGGCACTGACAGTTCAGTCACAGAACTCCACATCCCCATCCCCACCCCCACCTCCTCTGAAACAGGGCATTTGCTCTGCCATCATAGTACCATTTTTAGGATTTCAAGAGGAAACAGTGAAAACTCACCATGCCCGTAAAACTTGTGATTTTTTGTTTTGTTCTGTGTTTGAGACAGATATCCCAGCCACTGGGTCATTCTCCCAGATACCCACAGCAGTCAGGTCTGAGCCCAGCTGAAGCCAGGAGCTGGGAACTCCATCCAGGGCTCCCACGTGGGTGGCAGGGACCCAGCTAGTAGAGCCATCACCTGCTGCCCCCGGGTGTGTATTAGCAGGAAGCTGGAATCAGCTGAACCAGGCACTAAGGGATGCAGGCATCGTGACTATTCTACCAGACGCCCGCCCCTTGCCCCCAGCTAGTACTTTCAAGTGGAACTATTTCCCTGGCCTTCATCTTTGGGGCTACAGGGAGAGGTGGTGGTCAAAGCCTGAGCTGTACTCAGAACACATTCAGTTGACGTGCAGCACTCAGATAAAAATGATTTATGTTAAACACTCACTCCCTCTAGAGCCTGGCATTGCTTGAGTCAGGGGATCTGGAGTTTGACATCAGCAGACCACGATCCGCAGCCGGACCTCAGTCGTGGACACGGGCGTGTTCCTAAGTACAGGCCAAGCAGGACTGGGACGCCAGCGCTCACTGCACCAGAGTCCTGTGGAATCCCACTGCCCAGTTCTCCCGATGCCCTCGGTAGTCAGCTGGGCCTGATGGCCGTTTCCCTTTCCTGTCATCTAGGACGGGCTTTTCCGCTTCCTGCCGTCTCACTTAGGTACTGATAAGCTTGTTTACCGAGCGAGGGCTCTGAAGGACTTTGTTAACCTTGGTTGCTAGCAGCGTCTTTACACACAGAAGCTGCTCAAATTAAAGCTTCAGGGGCTGGCATTGTAGCACAGTGGGTTAAGCTCCACCCATGATACCAGCATCCCGTGTGAGCACCACTTCGAGTCCCAGCTGCTCCACTTTTGGTCCAGCTCCCTGCTAATGCACCTGGGAAAGCAGTGCAGGATGGCCCAAGTCCTTGGGCCTCTGCCACCCACGTGGGAGGCCTGGATGGAGTTCTAGGCTCCTGGCCCAGCCCTAGGTGTTGTGGTCATTGGGGGAGTGAACCAGAAGATTTGGAAGATCTGTGTAATTCTGCCTTTTTAAGTAAATAAATCTTGACAAGTTTCTGCTGATCCGGGCTACTTGAGCTTCAACCCAAAGATGGGGTAAATAATCCGTAGGTGCTGTAGAACGAGAGTAAGTTGTCTATGACGCTTTCACAGCTCAAAGCACTGGTGTGTACTTTTCCCCCAAAGCAAAAAGGCTCCTTCACAGCTTCCCACAACCACCGAAGCCTCAACACTAGAAGCCAGGTGGTGGTGTTTGTTCTAAAGGCATCGTACTTGGGTGTAGGATGCGTAGGGAAGCCTCTGGGATCACGTGAACGCCCAGGAACAGCCTCACTGAGCGCTGTGTCTTCGAGGGAGAGGGCACATTCTCTCGGTTTTGATGTTGGCCTGACAGCCCCGGAGCTGGTGCCCCGGGAGGAGGAGGCAGCAGCGGAGCGGAGCATGGGGCAGGCAGACGGTCTCCCTGGGGCAGGAAGGTGGAGAGCAGGCCCCCTTCGCGGTGACAGACAGCCGAGGTTCTGCTGTGCATCACGGGGAAGCGTGGGTGCACCGTGACTAGAACGCCCTGTGAGAGAGACTCGAGGCTGTACATAGTGTAGGAGCACCCTCTAAGGAAGCAGTCTTTATTTGCATTTTAAGAGTGAACACATACATGAAAAACGTTGCAATGAGTTGACACGGTGCTCAGTCCCCTTTTAAGTGACTTCCTGGGGAAGCAGAGCCATGGAATGCAAACACAGACGTTACCTACGACGCACACAGGTGAGCAAATGACATGGCCTAACTGCAGCCATTCCCAAGAGGGGTCTTCGCTCCCGGTAAACGCCAAGTAAACAAAACGCACGCTGCGTGTTGGCAACACAGGGCTGTTGCCTGGACTGGCCTCCTGTGCGGAGAAGGGGCCCTGGTCAGACCGCGACCAGAGGCAGGGTTCAGTGGCATTGAGGGCACAGTCTGCGTCTAAGACGTCTTACTGGCAACACTAACTGTATGATACCGACGGTAACTGGAACGGTCCTGTGTAGGGTTCACTTCCTAGCCCGAGAGAAGTTCAGCAGAGGAAACGGACACGAAACAGAGGAGATTTTGCTTCCCAGGTGACTTCGCGCAGAGCGAGGGGCTGCAGCCGCGTCCCCCAGGGCCCTGCGTGTTGGGTGGTAGTTATTTACAGGAGGGTTACACAAAATAGTGAGCTACTAAAGGTATCCAAAAAAGGCCTGAGAAGATCTGGTTAAAATGTATAACCTTGTATTGCTACTGATGGGAGTAGTCATTTTTATATCTTTTAAAAATAATAAAAACATTCTGTTAAAAAATATATTTATCCGGAAAGATGTTGATTTGAACTCTAAAAAGCAACGTGGAGTCATCCTTTTCCCTTTTGAGTGGAGAGCACGGGGCTGCACTCGGAGCTCCCCTTCCATCTGCACACCAGCCCTCCCTCTGGCAGGTGCCGCCTGCACACCCGTGGCTTCCCTCCCTTCCCTCCGTGCTGCTCCGGCGTGCTGGCCAGCCTGCCAGCCTCGGGTGCCCCTAGCTGCTGCCTCAGGGACAGGATTAGCTGCCTTTGATGTTGCCTGGGGGCTCCTGCTCTCCAAGGAATTGCCTTTACAAATTCAAATCAGACCGATCCTCAGTAAGTGGAGTTGAGGTGGTTTGAAACCATTAGTAGTTTTAAAGGCTAAGGCAACATCCGTGGTCATCTGTGTATCTTCATTTGATGCAAATAGTTACCCATAATCTAAAATAGATCTGTACATCTCTCCTCTAACGTCAGCTGGGTGCGAGTGGAAGGAATGGAGTGAGATGGAGAAGTAGATGGGAATGTCCTAAAAACCTTGTATAAAGGTAAAAATAAAGAGGAGATCGGCACAACCCATTTCTTTGGTGAACGGTAAGGAAGTGTCTCAAACTCATAAACCACACTCTGCAGAGGCGGTGCCGCTGTCCATCAAAGCACCCTGACTGCAGTGAGGCTGTTACACGCCTTCCTAAGAACAACCTACAAACCTGCGGGGGGAGGGAGGTCTTGTCGGAAGCTGGTAGTAAGAACGTGACCTGCGAGCCAACCCAGGTCCTCCCCTCGCCCCCTCTGCAGAGAGAAGCGGCTGCACCCAGCCCAGAGCCTCTGCTTTGTGCGGCCCCTGGGCAGGAGGGGCTACTTGTCGGTGAGCGACAGCTGCAGGACCTGCTGGAGCTCGGCCTCCTCCTCCTGGAGCCGCAGCTCCCGCTCCTCCAGCTCCTTGGCAGACAGCTCCATGGCCAGCTGCAAGTCGCTGTCAAAGCGGCTGCTCTCGCTCGGGCTGCCGGGACACAGGCCTTCCGCGCTGGTGAGCAGGCTCTCCTGGATGGCCCTGGGTTGGAAAACCAGGAAAAAAGAGACGGTCATTACTACCATCACCGCGGCGGCGGCGGCAACCACGCTCCTTACCTCTGCACCAAGTGCACACCGTGCCAGGCACTGTATGTGCACGACGCCCTTCAGCCCCACGGAACTGGGGCTGTAGGTGCTAAATCCAGGTGGGAAACTGCCCAGACCAGGGCTGGGGCCGCAAAGTGAACTTGGATCTGTTTTAAAGCAAAACCCAGCTTCTACATCGGGAGACTTTCAAGTATGGCTGAAGACTAGGAAAATGCTTCATATAATGAGTCTAGAGTTTTTTTCCTTAGAAAATTGTATAGGGGGCAATGCTGTGGCATAGTGGGTGAAGCCGCTGCCTGCAGTGCTGGCATCCCATATGGGCACTGGTTCTAGTCCCGGCTGTTCCTATGCCGATCTGGCTCTCTGCTATGGCCTGGGAAAGCAGTGGACGACGGCTCAAATCCTTGGGCCCATGCACCCACATGGGAGACCCGGAAGAAGCTCCTGGCTTCAGATGGGCCCAGCTCTGGCCATTGCCAGAGGGGTGAACCAGTGGATGAAGACCTCTCTATCTCTCTCTCTGCCTCTCTATAACTCTGCCTTTCAAATAAATAAATCTTTTTTAAACATTTTTTTATAAATTCCCCACTGCCGGCACCCACGCCGGGTGACCATGCATGCCTACACACAGATCACAGCCACCAGAGAGCCTTCTCTCGCTTTTCTGCCAGAGGCACTGACCTGGCAGGATCGTCAGGATGCCACCAGCCATCCCATCCCAGAAATCACCACAGGGGGTTTCCAGCTTGTTTAACGAGTAACCAGCACAGGAGGAAGCAAGAGGCTAACACCTCAAAGCTCTCCTGTCGGCAGGTGCCGAGCCACGGCCTGTGCCAGCCTGCGCTTCGCCGCCACGATGGCGTCAGTTACCTCTCGTACTGGGCATCGTAGGCATGTGTCGGGCTGATCCCCCCGTTCGATGCTGGTCCTGAAAATTCCTGGCAAAAACAAACATGATGGACGTGAATACCTCTTGGAAGGAACAGGTGCACCCTGACAATGCACGTGAGAGCAGCACTCACCTCCCCGCCGTGAGGAACTAACAGGGCCTGGCTTACCTTGCAGCAACAACGAACTGTCAGCTGGGCGTGGGCTTACGATAGAGTACAGGGTGTCTGGTGAGCAGACACACCTCCCAACCTCACACAGAATCCACTGACCAAGAACAGCCAAGCTGGGGCAAATTTAAATGACCACAGCAGGTAATTCTCGGGCAAGGTTAGAGGGCATAATTCAGTATTTGTCATCTTTGACACTGGCTACTCCCCTTGTCAAAACTTAGGGTTGGCCGGCGCCGTGGCTCAATAGGCTAATCCTCCACCTTGCGGCGCCGGCACACCGGGTTCTAGTCCCGGTTGGGGCGCCGGATTCTGTCCCGGTTGCCCCTCTTCCAGGCCAGCTCTCTGCTATGGCCAGGGAGTGCAGTGGAGGATGGCCCAGGTGCTTGGGCCCTGCACCCCATGGGAGACCAGGAAAAGCACCTGGCTCCTGGCTCCTGCCAGGATCAGCGCGGTGCGCCGGCTGCAGCGGCGGCCATTGGAGGGTGAACCAGCGGCAAAGGAAGACCTTTCTCTCTCTGTCTCTCTCTCTCACTGTCCACTCTGCCTGTCAAAAAAAAAAAAATACTAAATAAAAAAAACCTTAGGGTTGGCGAGGTTTGTGTAGACATGGGTTGGAAAGCCAAGCTCGTTCACCCCGGAGAGAAGTGGGCTCCGGTGCCAGCCACTTTGTGGGGCTGGGTCTTCTCTCACAGGAAATACGCTGACCCTCACCCAGCAGCCTCAGAAAAGTGAACAGGCCTGGGAATGAGCGAACTGTGATGGCAGGAAAAAGAGGGAGGCCCGAAAGCCAGAGCTGGAGCCACTGGAAACGCTGGAGCAGGGGTACTGTTCTCGGGGGCCAGGGCCGCCCTCACCCAGGAATCCTCAGCCCGGGCACAAAGCGGGCACCCTACAAACACTTGCTGAATAAAGATGGAAGAAACCAACCAGCAAACAAATGGACGGCAGGAGCCCTGGATACACGCGGGACCAGCTCTGCCCTATGGCCACAAGAGGAAGGGATGAGAGAGGCTGATAGTGGGGGGCAGCCCTTGAGCTTGGGCAGTGGCAGCAAATGAAGCCTGGAGGGAGACCCGCAGGGACTGTGAGGTGAGCACACACACAGTCACCGAGTGCACCCACTCACAACGCTCGCTGTTCCCGGGGAGGAGCTGGCACAAAATCGATGGCTTCTGTACTAGACAGTTACAAGCCCCCAAATACACAGTGACCAGCACCTGGCTAACAGATGTCTTCTTTCTGAAAACAAAGGCTGCTGACTGGGGTGGTGCCGATGGTCTCTGACAGTAAAAGCTGCTGGAGAAGACCAGGCACTGAGAATGCAATCCGGGGCCAACAGTGCGAGGCCGCCAGCTGAGCCTTCGCCTTTGATGCTGGCGTCCGTTAGGAGCCCTGGTTCGAGTCCCAGCTGCTTCACTTCCAATCCAGCTCCCTGCTGATCTTCCTTGGAAAGCAGCAGAGTGCTTGGGGCCCTGACACCCATCGGGGAGACCCAGACCTGGCTATTGTGGCCATGTGGGGAGTGAACCAGTGAATGGAAAATTGACTGATTTCTCTCCTCTCCTTCCCCTTCAAACACATAAACTTAAATGTGTATCTATATATAAATATTTAAATGTATATGTAAATACCAGGAACATGAAGACTTATTCTTTAGAGGAAGTCTTTCCAGTTGGCCAAAATCCGAACCGGGGGTTCCCCCTCCCAAGCCCCAGCATTTGTGCTGATAAAGCACCTGGCTCCGGCTGGACTCCAGCAGGCTCTGCTGGATGGCGAACTGCATTATCTCATAATCTTCATCCTGCAAGTGCATATTTCTGCCGTTGTCCTGAACGTGGTAAGATTCGGGAATTTCAAACACAGATTGGTCAACCTCGAAGTTGGCGCCCGAGGAAGCTGCAACATCAAAGGAGACAGCCCAGCGTGTGAGTGCACTGCGCTACGTTTCCGCTCCACTCCCGCCAAAATTGTTTTTTATGAAGAAAGGATCAAAATGGTAATAACCAAAGTTCATATTGCGTGAGAGATTCTGAGGAAGAATAGTGACAGAAAAGAAGTGCCAGAACACAGTTTTTTTGATTTTTTTAAGCCTAGTAAAAAAAATTAATATCTAGTCAGTAGAAAAATGCAGAAGACTGTGAAATGAGAAGTAAAGATTTCTCTTCCTACTCTATTTCCAGACCCCAGAGGTGGCTGGTGTCTGTGTCCCTTTGAGCAATGCCATGTGTAGGTGCACGTGCATGTGCACACGAGGTCGCCCCAAGGCGTTTTAGAAACACGTAGCGAATGCCTGGGAGTCTCCCCCGACCCGAGATCCACCGCCTCCACTCACATGGCCCAAGCACACCCTTCTCAACAAGGTCCAGCCTCCTCTGCAGGGGTGAACACTTCAGGGCGGGGAGCTTCACCAGCTAAGCTCCTCGCTGGGCTTCTTAGTAGTTTGAGCTCGTTTCTGAACTTGACATAAACGTGCTGTGAGACGCCCCGGTTTTGATACACGTGGCTGCGCGTTTGACTCTCACTGCTGTGTGTGAGTCACTCCACTGCACTCCTACAGCACAGTGAGCGCATCCTGTGGTCTAGGGGCATCCGGGGAGTTTCCAGATACCAGCAGTACTGGGGTCGCAAGAAGAGCCCAAAGGCATAAGTGTCTCGGGACAGCCAGGTCCTGGGCATGTTCACCCTCAAGTGACCACACTGTGCCAGACATGTCGCCAATGTACTCTGTTTGCCAAGAGCGGCTGAGCGTTCCTTTGCTGGGCGACTTCAGGGACACTTGTTATTACCCAACTTTGTTGTCACGTGGGAGTGGAAGAACGGTACTGCTGGCTTCATTTACACTAAACACTAAAATATATATAGCATTATTGGCAGACTAAAGGAGAAAACAATACAACCACCTCAAAAGCTATAGAAAAAGCATATTAAAAAGTAGTACTTAATGACAAAAACTTAAAACTAAGAAAGGGAAGCCTTTTCTCAATCTAATAAAGACTATCTACCAAAGAAATCAACAGTGGACATCATATTTAACGGTGAAACAACCCTTCCTCCCTTGAAGTCAGGAAAGGAGCAAGGATGGCCATTCATCAATTTTACTTAACACTGTACTGGATGTCCCAGCAAGAGCCATATGACAAGAAAAAGAAAAAGTTTCAAGCATGGAAGAAAAGCAAATTCTTCATTCACAGATCACATGATCATGTATGTAAGCAAAGATTTTTTTTTTCAAAGATTTATTTATTTATTTGAGAGGCAGTGTTAGGGAGGGAGACAGTGAGAGGAGTCTTCCATCTACTGTTCACTCCCCAAATAGCCGCAATGACCAGAGCTGAGCAGACCTGAAGCCAAGAGCCAGGTGCTTCTTCTGGGTCTCCCACGGAGATATGGGGGCCCAAGCACTTGGGCCATCTTTCACTGCTTCCCCAGGCCATTAGCAGGGAGCTGGATCAGAAATGGAGCGGCTGGGACTTGAACTGGCACCCATATGGGATGCTGGCATCACAGGCGGAGGTGGAGGCTTGGCAGGTCCAGTTATGTTACAAGGCCAAACCACAAAACTCAGTTATATTTCTATATACTGGCAACTGGAAAATAAAATTAAGAAAACTGGGGCCAGGGTTACGGCACAGCAGGTTAGGCCAGTGCTTGTAACAGTGACATTCTGTACTCCACTTCCAGTCTAGCTCCCTGCTAATGCACCTGGGAAAGCAGTGGAAGATGCCCAAGTGCTTGGGCCCCTGCACCCATGTGGGAGACCAGGACGGAGCTCCTGGCTCCTGGCTTCAGCATGACTCAGCCTTGGCTGTTGCGGTCATCTGGGGAGTGAACCGGTAGACAGATGTTTGTCTCCCCCCTCTCTGACTTTGCCTTTCAAAAAATTTAAAAAGACACATTGATAGCAACATCAAAATATGAATTGGATCAACAGCAAAGGAGCACGAAGAGCTCTGGGGTGCACAGACAGGTGACACAGATGCACACGTCTGTCAGACTGCGGCACACTTAACCCACTATATCCAACCGTCTTATACAGAGGACACCTGTGGAAACTTAAGCAACAAATACACCACTTATGGGAACTTTGAAGTAGATATTATGTCGTTGAAATACAGAATTGAAAACTTGGGCCTTAACAGGTTAAAATGGCAGCATGCTGTGGTATGTACCTTAGTTGATTTTTAAGATTACGCTAATGCCGTGTTAAACAAAGGCTGCATCAACCCTGTGCAGATGATGTGTGTATCTTTTAATTCCTTCTTTACACACACTTGGGGAAGCTCTGCTCACTACACCACTGGTTCTTTTTGTCTACACTGAATTAGCATTTTCTCTCATCCAGCACAGAAGCCTACTGCAAAAGGTACTCTCATTTCAAACTGAGTAACTAGTAAAATAAGTGACTGTGGTTTTTTTTAATTGCAAAGCTCTCGTTTTACCTGGATCGGCCTGGGCTCCTTCCACGCTCTGAGATGCAGATTCTTCGGCAGTGCTGCAGCCATTCACGTTGCCAAACGTGATCCGTGCGTTTAAGACGTGGAACAAGGGGATTTCTGACAAAATGAGTGTGTTTACAAACAAACGTTACTGCGGAGAATCCCAGCGATCGCTAACTGCGTGCTCCCGGGGCTGGCGCCACCCCTGCCCGTGTTGCAAGTGTGACATCCTGCTAACTGCCGTCCCCCACGTACAGGCGGGAAACACGTTCAGAGCCAAGAACAGCGAGGCGGGGATGCAGCCAGGATTCGAGTGTGATGAGCACACGCCCAGCACAGTTAAGATTCTGCGCGAGTCGTGTGCATCATGCACAGCGTGGCGCGTCCTGGCGCGGGCCGGAAGCACACTGGGAGTCCCCTGTCCCCAGCTAGCGAGCTCTGGTACTGAAGCAAGGAAAGCTCGGATTATCTCCCTCTTTCCTTGTGCGAGCGCCAGCTGTCGGGAGCTGGTGGGAGAGCAGAGCTGTGGCGTGGCGGGCTAAGCCACTGTCTGCAGCGCTGGTTGGCGTCCCGGCTGCTCTGCTTCTGAACCAGCTCCCTGCTAATGCGCCTGGGAAAGTAGCAGAGGATGGACCAAGGCCTGGGTTCCCTGCCACCCACGTGGGAGACCTGGATGAAGCTCCTGGCTTCAGCCTGGCCCAGCCCCAGCTGTTGAGCCATTTGGGGAGTGAGCCAGCAGATGGGAGATTGCTCTGTCTCTCCTTTAACTTTGCCTTTTGGATAAATAAGTAAATATTTAAAGAAACAAGATCAAAAAAATAACTGTTGGCTAGAGACCTCCCAATTTTGACGTGCAAAATGAATCATGACACTTCTTTAAATCAAATTAAACCAGAACGCAGTCTGACCTGTTCCACTCTATTGTATGCTACTTTGTGCCTCAGTGTGCAGTGCCCCAGAAGACATCGTGTCACCCACGAAACAGAACGGACATGTGTCCTGAACCTTGCTTAGGAATACCTATTTTGACGGGAAATCCAGGGGGGAATTCCAGTTTGATGAAATCTCTCAGTCTTGCGAAGTGAGCGCTTGTCCGAGCCATCAGGTCGATGATGGGGATGACCTGCTGCACGAGGGAGAGGGGGAACTCCTCACACATCCACAGCGTCGCCTTAAACCTGCAGGGTTCGACCGAGACAGAGCTGAGGGCCTGTCTACTGCGCAGGAAAGCAGGTCCTGCCACGCCCTAGGCCAGACCACCCTTACTCCCGGCTCCAAGCTACAGCAGAACGAGAACCACAGGACTTCAGCCTGCCCTGGGATCAGACAGTGGGGGAACGGCCTGCTCACAACGTCGCTCTGCAGTGGCCTTAACTGCCAGCAAGCAGTAGCCAGCGGGCACCAGGCCATCTGAGCTGGTCAGCAGCAAGATAAGTAAGGAATTCTTCATCCAATCTCCATCCTGTTTGGAGAAGGGCTAAGAAGGGGGCCATCTACTGTCAGCTTGTATCAGATAAGTTGGTTTTCCAGCCGGTGTTTGGTACAGCAGTGAACTTGCTGCTCGGGACCCCGCGTCCCATGCTGGAGTTGCTTCAAGTCCCAGAACCTCTGCTTCCAATCCGGCTTCCTGCTCATGCACCTCCTGGGAGCCAGCAGGTGGTGGCTCAAGTTCTGGGCTCCTGACTGTGGCCTGGCCCAGCCCTGCCTGCTGTGGGCACTTGGGGAATAAACCAGCAGATGGAAGATCTCTCCCTCTGTCTCTCTCCTTCTCTCTCAAATAAGACTAAAACAAAATTTTAAAGTAGATACATATATACATTGGGAAGGCAAGGGGCAGGGCGCCCACTGAACCTAGCACCCTAAGATAAACAGCACGACCTCGGAGACAGTCCCTAGGGTGAAAGCGGCAGCTCGCCCTTGCTCTTACTTTTGTGTCCTAATGGTCAGCTCTTTCGGCCTTCCGATGTCCCTGTCTTTCAGATCGAACTCTTCGTCAAAGTACTCGTCGGGCGTGATGGCCGTGGGGTTGTTGGCGGTGGCACATTCTGTGGTGAGGTCCTGCGAGCCAGAACTCGGGAAAGTTAGAGTGCTGAGGCCCAGCACCCCAGTCTGCGGCAGCCGGCCACGCTAACCAGCTACAGACCGGAGGATTCCGTCACTACCCTTTAGAATTAAGTGACATCCGCAAAGGCGGCCCAGCCTCTCTGGTGAGCCTGATGGATTGTTCTACTCTAAGAGAACTGTAACTACCTGGTTATGGACAAGGAAGAAGGAAAAGACGAGGCGAGAGATCTGAACGTGTGAGGTCTGGGAGACTCGGGGTTTAAGCGCTAGCTCTGTCCTACCCAGCTTGCTTCGAGAAGGGCTGTTTCATCTCTCCGACCCTCACTGACATCCCAATACGGAATCCATGTCGTGCTGTGTTACAACTGCTATAAAAAGATGGGGGCCGGCACTATAGCATAGCAGGTTAAGCCACTGCCCGCAATGCAGCATCCCATATGGGCGCCAGTTCAAGTCCCCGCTGCTCCACTTTCGGTCCAGCTCCCTGCTATGGCCTGGGAAAGCAGTGGAAGATGGCCCAAGTGCTTGGGCCCCTGCACCCACATAGGAGACCAGGAAGAAGCTCCTGGCTCCTGGCTTCATTTTGGCCCAGCCCTGGCTGATGCATCCATTTGGGAGTGAACCAGGGGATGGAAGATTTCTCTCAGTCTCTCCCTCTCTATAACTCTGCCTTTCAAAATAAATAAAATAAATTAAAAAAAAAAAAAAACTAAATCCTAAGTTCCATTTATATGCGGAAGCCCTAGCTTATAGTAAAAGAGAGAAAGAAAGCACCTGAATTCAATAATCACCACCCCCGCCTCTGAAAGCTTTATTTTCAAAGACCCCCCCCCATCTAATTTTCTTCCAAATGAATCCACCCACTCCTGGCTTGGGCACACCCCTTACCCCTTCCAAATAAACCCACCCAGCCAGGGTCCAGTAAATGCCCTCTCAGGCACGGGGACTCCTCTCCTTTCATCAGACTGCACTGGGAGCTCGCTGCTTCAACTTACCCCTTGTGCACCAAACTGGTGTTCCACTGTTCCCAGCAAGGATTCCAGAGGGTTCCTGTCCGCTACAGAGGGGAAAGGTCAGTGTCTGATCTCACATCTGACTTGTGCTACAGGACACACCCTCATCCTGTTTTATTAAAGTCTCTGATCCAAGCCACCTGCTTAGCAAATCCATCTGTGGACAGACTGACAAAATCACCCACAGTAACCCCAAGCTGAGTGATGCTGTGTAGTGCACCTCTTATTAGGCTCTAAACTAGAGAAACAGTTACAAGAAATTAAACAGAACAGTGGGAAGAGCCTGGATTTTAAGAGAAGCCCAGGTAGGGATTCCGATCCCACCCTGGCCCCTGGGGACCCACATGTTCTGGGCCTCAGCTCTGCCCACCGGATTGGAGTCATGGTAACAGCAGATGCTGGGAACTGCCGCACGCCCCCGCACCCTGCAGGCTCCGTTCCAGGGTTATGAGTGCAACGGTGCCCGACCCTCCCAGGAACTCTCGGGAAGGTGGGGGGTCCCCTCCGTTTCACCGCAGAGGAAACTGAGGCTCAGAGGGTGTGCGACCTCACAGGGCCCCAGCAGCCACATGTTGGCGCTGTGGGGCTTGGAGTCCCACGTTCCGTCCAGGTTTTGCCCCATAATGACGGAGCTACGCCACCGGTTCTGATGGCCTTCTCTACTTTTTTGGCCAAATCCAACACATTGTTCTTCATAAACATGAATAGCTTTAATTACCGCTGCAGCCAAATGGGGAAACCTCTCCCAGATGAGTCATTCTGAGGCCATTTTTGTACAAAAGGAGGCAGGGGTGGGACTGGCAGACCCTGAGCCCTTTAACCCCAGACTACCCAAGGCTTCGTTACCTTTGTATCGCTTCTTTTCCTCCTCGGTCAGGTGTTCTGTGCGGATTTTGGTTATCACACTCACATTGTTTACTGTGTAAACCTTGAGAGATGTGTGCAAAAGAACACAGTGACACAGGGAATCAAAACTCAGAACCTAAGCACAGCAAGAGCAAGAATGCTGAAGCAAAAAGAAAAAAAAAATTCAGCAAAATAAAAATGAGAAATGGTTAACAATGAGGCTCCCGCAGGGAAGATATACAGACTGTCAACTAAGAAATGCATCGGCAGTTGCTTTCCATCTCTGACAGTTTGAACGGGAGGAGGAGCTGTTGTGGACAGCCTGCGTCTTCCACCTGCCCTTCTTGTTGCTAAACTCAAACAAATGCCTGGCAGTTCAGGCTGCCCGCCTGGGTTTCTCTTATACTAAGGGGATGCAAGCCTCTGTCACGCGCTTCTACTGATGTGGGGGGATCGGCTAACAGCCTGGACTTTGTCAGCCACCTGCTGGGCACAAGGAAGAGGGAGGAACCCAGGTTCTCGAGATCTGTGAGATCTGGGGACAGCCAGCAAGCCACTAGTGGGAGAGGTACCCCCCTCTTAGGGCCAAAAAAGCTAACTGCCAGAACGCATGCTCTGTTGTCAAGGGCAACCGAGGAGGATGGTGGGCTGGGCAGTCAAAGGCAGCAGTGGCCACGCGGACACCCAATGCTCAGAGCTGCAGAACACGCCCACTTGGTGCCAGGGCGACTGTTTGTAAATGCAGCTCTGCGGAGCCTGACATCAGCTTCCGCCAGAGGCCTCTGCAGCAGCTGGCCCGGCCACTGCCTGCCATCAGTGCAGCAGGACCGCAGGGCTCAGCAAAGGCCAGCAAGGGGAGCGCCAGGGGACCCGCGGACCAGCTGCCGTCTCCACTTTCACAATGACAGTGTCACAGGGGGGCTGAGAGCCTGTTGTTAAAATCAGGCTGATCTTAAAAAAAAAACGTGCAGCTACTAACATTTTTGTTTTTAAAAGATGAAGAAGCACGTGAAATCCAATCCATTCCCTTTTTTCTTTTTTCCTTTTTAATTAAAAGAATGACTATTTGGCAGGCATTCCTGCTGGGACAGCTGGCGCCTGCACTCCTCTCTACAACACTGTTTCTCTTTGGCATAGCTAGAGCCCTCCTCAGGACAGGCTGGCGCGTTTTCTCAAAGTCAAATGAGATTAAAAACTCCAAGTGAGAGACATCAGACAGGACGCCCTCCGCGAGCGTCTTCATGGTACGGATGCATGAGAGACATCTCGACAGACTCCTCATTTGCACAGAAGCTACAGAGCTGTATTAAATCTTATTTTAAGAGTTGCCTTTTACCTTTGCTTCGTAACCATTAACAACTTCTGCTTTATCTGTCCTCCAGCCCCAGAATCCGGATTTAGTTCTGATAAAAAGTGAACACCACAAATTGCCACATGTACATGCCATTCAGATCCATCCCTGAGCCTTTATAGTTCGCTTGTTCTCTTCCCCCAGCTTAAGTTAGTAAAGGACACTTGGAAATCAGGTCCTATTGTCCTCGGAAGGATGCCACCAATGCCAGATGGCGTAGCCCCCCCACCCCCTCCCACAGTTATTAATCAATTAGCCTCACTCCAGGCATAGAGAGCCTCAGCTCTTGGCTGCTTTACAAAAACTGTCAGCATCGGGGACAAAGGTGGCGACATTTATTGGACAGCTGTCCTCAAGCACTTAAGTGAAGATGGCCAGCGTCCGAGGGCTCGCCACGAGGTGGATCTGGGTGAGAGCATTGATCCGGGGCATCGGAACTGTGGGTGTGGCCATCAGCAGCTCTCGCTCCACAAGCAGCTGCCTCTCCATCGAGGAATCTCAGACCAGGGAGCCCCTGGGAAGGGGCCGGTGCGGCAGGAACCCCTCTCTGGGGCGAGCTGCGTGGAGAAGCCATGAATGCCTGCAGACGGCCTATGACGCGCACGTGGGTCGGGTCTCGTGCGGCAGGGGAAAGAATGTTCAAAGCAGTTTGTCAGCCCAGCTGCTGCTTGCAATCACGCGGCCCAGCATTCCAGCCGCAGCTGCAGGGCTGGAAGCCGGCCCCATGGCCCCGTCATCCCGCTCAACGTACTCCTGAGAAAAACACACTCCGGAGCCAAGGGCGGCTAGGAGGCTCTGCTGGTCCCACTCAGCGGGGAGCCCTGCCCAGCCCTGCCCTTTGTCTAGGACATCACATCCTGGCTCCACGTGGCCGCTCTGACCTGAGGGAGGCAGCAGGTGAGCCGGTCACAGGGAACAGCTGTGCTCATTTGCATCCTGCGGGTCCATACGGTCGGCTTTTCTTCTAATGGGATTTGGTGGGTGCAGTCAGTGCAGGTGGGGCCTGAGGAGCTGTCTGTGTGTGTTTTAGCCCATCAGGGAAAGGAGAGCCCAGAGCTGCTGTCGTCCTTATCTGTCTACCATTAGTGTAACGTGACCCCATAGAAGCAAAGAGAGGAGTCCTAAGGGGACCGCGCCAAATGCTAGCTCGCTCCAACTGATGCTTCAGAAACAAAATACGGGCCCCGGGGACGGCAGGTCAGGGACCCCACCAGACTAAGGAACCAGCCTCCCGCTAGTCATCAGTAATTCAAGTTCAGCGTAGTCCTTTCAGTTAACTAAGTCCGTGCTCTGTCCCTTAGCTATGCCTGCGCCACTTAAGGTTTGGGCTCAGGGAATCCTGGTTTCCTGGCACTTGCGCAGTCTTCAGAGGGACTGAAGGGTGACACTACCTGCTCCCCCATCCTCGCCTACGCCGAAAAAGCAGAGCTGCACCTTCCTCCCGAGGACGGGCTAAGCTCAGCGCGCTGTGGCCCCACAGCCAGCAATGCTGCCGCCTGCTGCCCCCCACATCCCCACTCCGACAGCACGCCAGTTCCTAAGCTCCACGTCTACACCCCGTCTTGAAACCAAGGCCCTGGCGACCCCTGGGTCTGCATGGGCTCTGCGTGCAGAGGCAGCTGGAGGCCACGGCTGCCCTCTCGTGCCGCCTGCAGCTTTGCCTGTCTCCACCGGGACCACGGCGCCAAAGGCCACTCTGTAGGCCCGTGTCTTGGTGGCTGCTACACCATCTGGACAAAGGCCGCGAGGGTGCCGGGCGAGCAGAGTGTACTCCTTCAGAGAAGAGGAACCAGAAAGTACATCCTGCAGGCAAAGAATTCACTGGGGAATGGTGTCAACTCACAAGCGGGAGGCTCCGAGTCACAGGTCAGGAGGAATGGACAAACGTGACCGTCACAACACAGGAAGAGCCACACCTTACAAATTCAAACGGGCACGCATACCTCTGGCTGGAGGCAGAGGTGCACACCTTCCCTACCAGGAAACCTCACCCTGGAAAGCGCCTCAAATCCTTGCTCCCACACTGGAGGACCGGCAGAAAAGCAGCTGTCTTCCAGAAATTCTTGGCAAGCCAGTGGCAAGAGAGTTCGCTTGAACTCTCTGAAAACCCTGGGAGCAAACACTCAGTGTGCCTTCAGAAGCAATGGGCTGGCATCTCCCGTGTGCACTTTGTGGGGTGCCAGGCAGCAGTTCCCACGCTCTGCCCATACATCACACTTCCCAACAAACGGGGACTCAGACAACTGCGCTGCTGAACCACACAGGGCGCCCTGTCTCTCCTGGTGACGGCTCAGCGCCACGGACTTCAGGAACCTCACGGTGAGGCGACTCCGTGTTTTCCTCTCAGCTAAGACAGAAAACTGGAGAAATGGGGCCGCCTGCCCCAGGTCGCACACTCACTTAGTCGCCCTGCAGTGGCCCCAGTTCTCTCCTTACTGATGGGCTGTGGCGGGGGGGGGGGGGGGGCAGCAGCCTTGACCTTCTTCCTCTGCTACGGGTGCTCTCGCTGCACAGCGTGACAGACATGAGCGGGAGAGGGCACTCTGAACAAAAACCTCTCAGCTGCACTCACCAATTTGATGTGGGAAACAAAGGAAAATCGAGAGAGGACAGAATATTCGTGCAGAGGAGAGCAAGCCTGCATTCGGGGTAACGGTGTGCGTTCTGGATCAGGCTGTGCCACTGTGCTCTGCAGAGAGCTGGATGTGACATCCTAGGCAAACATTAAGGGCTCTTGTGGACTCCCTCGGTGCAGAGTGTCCCGTGGAAAAACACTTCCGGGAAAGGCTGTGCCGGCCTCTGCGCCGCTGGTGCGGCCCCGGGGTGGACGGCCAGCGACGGCGCTCTCATCTGCGCTAACCAGCTCATCGGAGGCCCTCCAGCCTCTTGCTGTGGGGAGGAGAACCACACTGAGCGATGCGCTGTGTGTGCATGTCGCTGATACAGGACAAGTGAACTCAGCAGCGGCTCAGTTCTAGTTTCTGGGAACTCAGCACGCCGAGGTTTGGGAGCCGCGCATGCTGAGGGTCCACAGATACCCAGATGAAAATCAATTCGAGCAAAGCCCCGAGCAAGGGCCCATGGCAGGATATGGAGACACCTCTCCAAGACTTAACCAGTGTGCAAGACAAATGACGGATGAGGTCAGCTGTCCGCTACGGTTTCTGTTCCCTCGGAGATCAGCTCATAACACTCCCTCGTGTTCATGACATCAGATAAGAAACCAAAGCCCAACCCCCCGAAATTCCAGTACATACACACATACACGTCACTAAGATGGCAGGACTACCCAGCGCCTGAATGCGTACCTCTCGAAAGCGATATTTTTAGTATCGAGGCTGGTATTGATGACGGGGCTGGTGAGCCGCCTCTCAACTTCCCTGCTTTTCGGCTTCATGAGGTCCAGGGTGAGGCGCTCCATCTCCTGGGAAAGGTCGAAGTGCTCGGTGGTGACCACTTTGTCGTCGTGGTTGACTTCCATCAGCTCGGCCCAGTTGTCTGCGGATGGAAACCCGGGCGGAAGTGGATGCAGCGCAGAAGCCAGGAGCTGCCCGCTCGCAAATGCAGTGCCTCTCGCGTTTGTCCTGCCGGCTGCTGCCTGCTAAGGCCTGGCGCGCTGACTATCGGTTACCTACTTGTCCAGGGGATTCCTGGCCGGTTTTCCACGTCTGTAGGGGGCTCTGGGCCATCCTCCCCAGAGATGCAGCCTTCTGCACCCTTGATTAGCAACACACCTCACCCGTGTCCTTTACAAAAGCGATCATTTCAGAATTGACACTCCTGAGTGCACCGTTGGGTGACCGGTGCACTGCTCTCTCCCACGGGGAGGATCAGGCCTGTTCAGCAGATGCAGGCCCAGGAAATGAGACAGACACGTGTGCAGGGGGTGAGTGACATGTGCCAGGGGCAAAGAGAGCAGCAGAATGGGTAAGAATAACCGGCAGACACGCCCCAGATGGCAAGAGAGGAAGACGACGAGGATGGGTGCGGGTCGTTGGGTCATGTGGCCGCAGCCACCACTGTGAGGCTGGGCTCACTCACCTTCTCCCTTAAATATAAAGCTGCGCCTCCCTCTTATCCAGCTCATGTTCTCAAAGCCCAGCAGCGTGATATCGACGCGCAGCTTGGCCCCGCTTTTCCAAATGCGACAGACGTCATTCGGGCATATCCTGGAGACCAAGGGCACTGGAGGAGAGAAGCGTACAGCTGAGAAGAGCCCAGGGCCGGGCGGAACACCCAGCCTGGGAGATCAGGGTCCGGGCAAGATGGTGACTGGGAGACAGAACTGGACCCCCCAGCGCCCGCTCGTCACATGCCAAGTCAGCAAAAAATACAACTGCATCTTCTGCTCCTTCGGCAGTGAATTTCCCGAGTCTTCTCATCCCACTCGCTGCCTGCCACCAGGGCGACCATATGGCCACAGTCACAGCCGCCCTTCCAAACTCCAGACCCTCAAATGCGCTGCTGGTTCACAAAACCCGAAACCACGGTGATCATTTGCATCAGAAAAGAGTGCTTTGGTGTCTCTGAAGAACAACCTGAGGTTCCCGGGAGGAATCTAAGGAGAACCTCTGTGGAAACATTGTCCCAGCCAGTCCTTTCCAGTGACATTAGGAGAAACATGGCCGCTTGGAACAAGCCAGCCATCAGGGAGGCTGCCCTTAGACTAACAGGCTTAAAAGACTCACGCTGAACTACACTACGGAAATGAGTACCCTGGGGTTGGGGGGGATGCTTGGGGCCCAGGTCTTCTGCCGGGGACAGGGTATGCAGAGCAGCCACTCAGGAGGGACTGGGGTCACTGTCCTTCCTCCTCCTTCTCAAGATTTGTTTTTAAAATGCACCTAACATTCCTACAGGAAAAAAACAATCTACATTCTGGCTAGGGAGATGTGGAAACGGAGAGAAATCCTAAGCCCACAGCGACTCACCCCAGCTGGTGAACTCCCACTTCATCTGCACATAGAAATCCGGAGCCTAAAGGACAGAGGTTGCAAACAGGTTACCCTTGGCGCCGTCAACGGAACACGCACATAGCAGCGGTTAACGGAGTTTTAAAATCAGAAAAATTGAGAGCAGAGGAAGTAGGAAGACACAAGGTTCAAACCCAGTGAACTGGATACTTCCTTCTTAATTCCCCCTCGTCCTGTGATAAAGTCTGTCGAGATCGTTAGGAGGGCTCACACGGAAAGGAGCAGGCTTCGAAGCGGGGCGAATCACAGCCCCTGGGGGCGGAGCTTCCCAGCAGTAACAGAGTCAGCCTGGGAAGATGGGTTAAGTGCAGCCAGGCAGCGGGCTAGCACAGTCTACGCACAGAGGAGAAAGGTCAGCGGCCGCCCTCACATGGGGAACTTGACCGTGAAGGCTTTGCGTGCCGACCACTCAGAAACTGCGAGAGCCTGACGGCTGGCCGACACCCACCCCGCCCCCCCAGGAGCGGATTTCCCTCCAGGCCGCAGCCTTCGCCCCACTCTCCTCTCCCACTTTGAGGATCTGAAGCTTTGCACCACCGAGGTTGCTTACCCACCATCAATTCTGCAGCAGGTTCTCCAGGAGCCACTTAAGGCGGCCAGCGGGCCCAGCCGACAAGAGAAACGCTAGGGGGGCCGGGGAATTTTCTGTCCCCTCTCCTACCCTCAGAGCTCCGCTGTGGTTTTTACAGAGGATGGGGCGGGAAGGCCGGGAATCCCCCCAGGAGTAAAACCAGCCAGGATTCCAATGACAACCTAGAAGAGGCTGATTAGAAAGGCCGGCGTACATTATAAGGAGACAGTGTTTTAAGGCCGGACGTCAGCTACGGCCTCCGGTGCCACCTAAGTATACACATCATTCATGGCTGTCTAGAGCTCCCCGCCAGCAAACAGTCCCCGCAGCCCATTGCTGTGTATCAATACAGAGGGGAAAAAAAGCATGAAAATCTTTTATACTAGGTTTTTTAAAATGAAGGGTGATTGCATGTTCAAGTCATTTTCTGCTTTGTCAGATGGGCAAAATGATGTTTTTAGTTCCTCCTGCAGTCAGTTATTAGATCACAGTGAATCTTTGCACACTCATAAAGGCACACCTGTCTGTAGCAATGCTCACCACCATCCTACATTTCAGCGTGGGCTCCACTCAGGCCATGGGACATGAGTATCTTGGACACGTCCTCGCTTGAGTGGCACAGAGAGAAGTTTTTTAGAGGGTGCTCAAATAATGAGCACTGATTGTCCTGCTTGTCACAAGGTTGTGTGTCTCAATAGAGCTACTGATTCTTCTTAAGAGATGTGTTCTGGGCCAGCGCCGTGGCTCACTAGGCTAATCCTCCACCTGCGGCGCCAGCACTCTGGGTTCTAGTCCCAGTTGGGGCGCCGGTCCTGTCCCGGTTGTTCCTCTTCCAGTCCAGCTCTCTGCTGTGGCCCGGGAAGGCAGTGGAGGATGGCCCAAGTGCTTGGGCCCTGCACCCCATGAGAGACCAGGAGAAGTACCTGGCTCCTGGCTTAGGATCAGCGCAGCGCCGGCCACAGTGCACTGGCCATAGCGGCCACTGGAGGGTGAACCAATGGAAAAAGGAAGACCTTTCTCTCTGTCTCTCTCTCTCACTGTCTAACTCTGCCTGTCAAAGAGAGAGAGAGAGAGAGAGAGAGAGAGAGAGAGAGAGAGAGAGAGATGTGTTCTGACTCAAGTTGTAAGCTGATTTTCCTAGCAAATATTTTGGGGGCTCATTGGGAATGGGATAGCTCACCTCCATGCCTAAGTTGAGAACAAATATGAAAATAGGTACTTCCTTATCTGCTGCTGCCTGGGGAGTCCTGCACACAGGACAGTGCTAAGGTGGGTCTTTCAAATAACAAAGCTTATCTGAAGAATGGCTACCATCTTCCAACACAATCAGAAGCCTATAAGTTAATGTTTTTAAGAAAGGTCTAGGAGCCGGCACTGTGGCACAGTGGGTAAAGCAACCACCTGCTATGCTGCCATCCCAGATGGGTACTGGTTCGAGTCCCAGCTGCTCCATTTCTGATTTATCTCCCTGCAGATGTGCCTGGGAAAGCAGCAGAAGATGGCCCAAGTGCATGGGAGACCTGAAAGAAGCTCCTGGCTCCTGGCTTCGGCTTGACCCAGCACTGGCCATTGTGGCCATCTGAGGAGTGAACCAACAGATGGAAGACTTCTCTCTGTGTCTTCTCTGTCTCCCCTGGAACTCCCTCAGATACATAAATAAATCTTAAAAAAAAAAGAAAAAGAAAAGAGCCGGCGCCGCGGCTCACTAGGCTAATCCTCTGCCTTGCGGCGCCGGCACACCGGGTTCTAGTCCCGGTTGGGGCGCCGGATTCTGTCCCAGTTGCTCCTCTTCCAGGCCAGCCCTCTGCTGTGGCCAGGGAGTGCAGTGGAGGATGGCCCAGGTGCTTGGGCCCTGCACCCCATGGGAGACCAGGAAAAGCACCTGGCTCCTGGCTCCTGCCATCGGATCAGCGCGGTGCGCCGGCCGCAGCGCGCCGGCCGCGGCGGCCATTGGAGGGTGAACCAACGGCAAAGGAAGACCTTTCTCTCTGTCTCTCTCTCTCACTGTCCACTCTGCCTGTCAAAAAAAAAAAAAAAAAAAGAAAAGAAAGAGATAGAAAGAAAGAAAAGAAGGAAGGAAGGGTCTGGGGTATCATATAGTGCATATATCTTAATTCAGAAGGCAAACAAACTGCCCCAAAGCCAAGAATTGTAAATTAAGGCAATGGATCAGAAGTTGCAAGATACCACTGGGTAGTAGTGACAAAGGTGGCAAGAAGAACTTGCCTGCTGACTTCCGGGCCTCAGCGAGCCCTGGAAATCCCTGGACTGTAACAGATGCTCACCACAACAGCCTCGAGATTAGCGGGCTCAGAGTGCTACGAGACAGGACGACAGAGAGCCCCCGTCTACTGTTTTATCCCCCAAATGTCCCCAACAGCCAGGGCTCAGCCAGGCCAAAGCCAGGAGCTCCACCCAGGTCTCCCACACGTGTGGCAGGGACCTGAGTACTTGTGCTGTCATCTACTGCCTCCACGGCACACTGGCAGGAAGCTGGATCTGAAGTCGTGCAGTTACGAACTGACCCAAGCTCTCCAGATGGAATGTGGGCCTCCCAGTGGTGGCTTAACCTGATTCACCACAATGCTCACCCCTTCAATTATAATTTTTACATAGCACTTAGAAGGGGTTAAGCCCAGTGACTTAGAAACGTAATTTGTGACAGCCCCCCAACTTCAACGAGTTGGAGAGGTGAGAAGTAGCACTGTTTGCGGCTCGCACCATACAGACTGTTGACACAGCTCTTAAGGAAGGCGTGCCAGGCCGTCACGCCGTGTCTCCAGCTGCTGGATCAGCACTTAGCCGATGGCGGCACGGCCCACGCCTGTGGGTACCTCAAGGATTTTGTGCAGCAGCTCAGGAACTCCCTCGAGGGCCATGGATGTGTTGTGGTAGTCTCGGTGTTGGAGGACCGTGTACACCATCTCGGGGTCGCCCGTGCTCACAGCCTCGTGTAAAACTGGAGAACAAAAGGGTGACAATGATCACTGAGGAGTCTCGGCTGTATGATCAACTCCAAAGCCAGTCTGGAAAAGATCCCTACAGACCAAAGACCAATGCCTGCTTTAGTGGCTGTGGTCCAACTTTAGCATATACAATCATGACTTCCGATCGCCAGCTTCTAAGTAAAGAGGAAAGAAAAACAGAGCACTCGGCCTCTTGCTCAAACCTCTTCCCCACTCGCTGTGCCCCCACCCTCACTGCTGCCCCTGATGGTGTTTTCAGAGAGCTGGCTTGGACCGGGCGGCCACGCAGCACTGGTGACAGGAAGACCGGGCAGACAGGGCTTATGCTTGCGAGCACCCTGCAGGTAGCGGGGGGCTGCTCTGCCCGGGGCAGCCATTTGGCACGGCAGAGTAGATGCCACTTGAGACGCCCGCATCCCGCACCGGAGTGACTCGGCTCCGGTCCTGCCTCTGCTCTCGTCCCAGCCTCCTCCTGGTGTGCACCCTGGGAGGCAGCAGGGGGCAACTCAAGCACCCGCCGACCCATGTGGGACACCTGGATTCAGCTCCAGCTCCTGGCTTGAGGCTGGCCCAGTCCGAGCTGCTGTGGCCACTCAGGGAGTGACCCAGCGGATGGAAGATCCGTCTGCCTCTATTTCTCTCACTGCCTCTATGCTCTGACCAATGGTAAGAGTTCACAAAAACGTGAAATGCCAGGATGTCATTAGAAGGTATCTCTAGCCCTGTTTTTTATTTGTGTCGATCCTGATAGACTCAGCGGTGGCACCACCATCGTCACCAGGGGGAGCTGGCCTCCATGTTCTCCCGTGGGAGGAAGGATTCGCACTGAGAGCTGCTTCTGGGTGAGGAGTCACCGGGCCACAGCTCAGCCCGCGGCATCCCCAGCCCTCATCTCCTCCCCCCTGCCCCGGTCCCCCCAGCTCCCAGTTCCTCCCCGCGGCCCTGGTCCCTCAGCTCCCAGCTCCTCCCCGCTCCCGTCCTGGTGCCCCAGCTCTCAGCACCCCCCACCATCGCCCTGGTCCCCCCAGCTCCCAGCTCCTCCCCCTGCCCTGGTCCCCCAGCCCTCATCTCCTCCCCCCTGCCCCGGTCCCCCCAGCTCCCAGTCGTCCCCCCCGCCCTGGTCCCCCCAGCTCTCAGCTCCTCCCCCTGCCCTGGTCCCAAGAGAGCAAGCCCCTGTGAGAAAAAGGATTCAGACGAGGATTACGGTTGGGACTGGCCTCTGTTCAGAAAGATAAACCAAATGGAGCGACATTAGATTAGTTTTCAAGGAGACTTACCTGTCCATCCCTGGCGGTTTTCTTTTGTCACATCCGCTTTGTGTCGGAGCAGGACTCGCGCAGATTCCAAATGTCCCAGAGAAACAGCAAGGTGCAGTAAGGTTCGCCCTCGTGGATCCAGAGCCTCCACATTCTGTGAGGGAAACACCAGCGTCACGTAACCAGGTGCGGCATAAAAAACGTGGCCATGTGTTTCAGGGACACATTGAGCAGAAAGAAGCCAGAAAACGGGGGGCAGCCTTGTGGTGCAGCACAGGAAGCCACGGCTTGCTTCGCCAGCATCCCATACCAGAATGCCAGTTTGGCCCTGGCTGCTGCACGGCTGATCCAGCTCCCTGCTGATGCACCTGGGACGGCAGCGGAGGATGGCCTAAATGCTTGGGCCTCTGCACCCATGTGGGAGACCCGGAAGCAGTTCCCGGCTCCTGGCTTCAGCCTGGCCTGGCCCCAGGTGTCGGGGGCATCTGGGGAGTAAACCAAGGAGTAGAAGACCTCTGTCTCACCATCTCTCTCTGCCTTTCAAATTAAACAATTTTTTAAAAAAACAACCAGAACAGTATTTACACATTAATTATAGCAATAAATACAAAAAGGTTTGCATCTGAGCTGAGTTATGAGCCTGAGGACTATAAATGAAGACAACAGTTACAGAGTTCCTTTTTCTATAAAGTTTAGTGCCCAATAAATAAGCACTGGCACCAAGCCTCAGAGCACCCAACACAACCTGACGCCCTCGGCGACACTCAGATTCAGTCCAAATAAGGAGAGGGGCCCGCGTGAAATGCCTTGGCCCCAGGACTCAGAACGCAGGGGATTTCTCAAGCCCACATCAGCATTCAAGTCTAGAACAGGAAGTATAAAACGGTAATCAAAACTGAAAGAACAGGAGATAATTCGGGCCAGAATAAAATGAGATTTTTTGGCTGGATTCCCACCAGAACACTTTGCTCCTGGCTGCGTACCGAGTTTCAGATGTTCTGAAGTAGCACACAGAAACCGGCAACACCTGCGGGTCCCCCAGGCGAGGCGCGTCCTTGGCTGAGCAGGCGCATGCGCACATTGAGAGAGGAACGTTACGGGGCAGGTGTTGTGGGGCACCGCGTTCACCCGCAGCCCACAATGCCGGCATCCCGTTAGAGCAGCATAGGAAAGCAGCAGAAGATGGCTCAAGTCCTTGGGCTCCTGCACCCACGTGAGAGACCCGGATGGAGTTTCAGGCTCCTGGTTTCAAGCCTGGCCCAGATCCGGCTCTTGCAGCCATTTGGGGAGTGAACCAGAGGATGGAAGATCTCTGGACTGATCAATCTCCCCCACTCATCCCGCCCCATCTCCCCCACCTCCTGTCAGTCTGCCTTTCAAATAAATAAATTCAGGTTGCACATCCCTTACCTGAAATGCTTGGGCCAGCACTGTTTCAGATTTCAGAGTTCTTTGGAGTTTTTGAATACTTGCAATAGACTCTCCTGGGTGAGCATCCCTAATCTGAAAATCCAAAATCCTCTGAAACCAGAAACCTCGGAGCAGCAACATGACAGGTTTTGGCTCATTTCCGACTTCAGAACTGCGGATTAGGAATGCGCCACCTGTCACTGTCTTCTAAACCCGACCAGGCTATGAACTTCCGAGCTCCGAGCTTAGCTGGAGTTCAGCAGGAAAGGAAAGAGTCAGCCAAGCTCGTTTACCCACCTACTTACGTGTTATATAAACGAAGCATTTTCTGACCTAACAAATTCAATCCAAATGAAAGGTGCTAGGGTTAGCACACTGCCTGCCACATGGGCGGCGCCTAGCATTTATCCCAGGAGAGGAGAGACTCACACCTCAGAACAGAACTAACAGGTCTCAGACGAAGGAGCGAAGGAGCGGCCCTCACATAGGACGTGCAGAAACCACGCACAGGAAGTTTTTAACTTTTTCTGTTCTGCACCCATAAGCCACAGAGCAGCAGGGGCTACATGCTGAACTGGAACTCCTCAGGCCTCCTGCGCCTGTCTCTCTCTCTCTCTCTCCAAATGGGGGTTCGGGTCAGGTAGGGTGGGGGAAAGCATTTAAAACCGAGAGCTGGGGGTGGGCCTCTGGCCTCCAGGTGGGTAGAGGGAGCTTGGGACGGCCCTAAGCCTGATCAAGAAGCTCTGCTCCTGACTCCAGTTTCCTGCTCACCTGTGAGGCAGCCGCCGATGGCTCAGGCAGTGGGGTCCCTGCCACCCACATGGAGACCGAAATTGAGCCCCCAGTTCTTCCTGGCAAAACCCTGGCAGTTCACGGCATTTGGGAGTCAACCAGCAGATGAGAGTTTTCTGTCTCTGTTCCTTCTCTCTCTCTGCCTTTCCAATAAATGAATAAATAATTTAATTGGAAAAAAAAAAAGTAAGTAAAGATGAGGAGGGAAATATACAAAATAGAAAACAATCAAAACAACCAAAATTTATATTTTGAAATGTCAACAAAATCTAATTGTCAACAAAACATTTAGATTTGACTAAACAAGAGAAAAGACTCAAGTGAAAAAAAATTAGGAAAGAATATTATTATCAACTCTGTAGAAATAAAAAGGCTTATAAAGGAATATTATGAACAACTGTATGTGCCAAAACAAATCAGGTAACTTGGGTTAAGACCTAAGAGGGGCCGGAGCTGTGGTGTACTGGCTAAAGCTGCCGCCTGTAGTGCAGGCATCCCACATGGGCACCAGTTCGCGTCCTGGCTCCTCTACTTCCAATCCAGCTCTCTGCTAATGGCCTGGGGAAGCATCAGAAGATGGCCCAAGTGCTTGGGCCCCTGCGCCCATGTGGGAGACCTGGAAGAAAGCTTCAGGCTCCTGGCTTTGGACTGGCCCAGCCCTGGCTGCTGCAGCCATATGGGGAGTGAACGGATGGAAGGTCCCTCTCTTCTGTTTCTCTCAGTCTCTCTCTCTCTGTAACTCTGCCTTTCAAATAAATAAATCTTCAAAAAAATTTTATTAAAAAAAAAAAAACAGGCCCTGATGGCTTTACTGATGAATTCTGGCGAACATTTAAGGAATTGATACCAATCTTTCATGATCTCTTCCAAGAAACAAAAGAGGAAAGAAAACTTTCCGGCTCATTTTATGAAACCAGTTTTATCTTGAGGACAAATGCATCATAAGAAAAGAAAACCATGGACTAATTAATACCATTTATGAATATGGAAGCAAAAATCCTCTCAACAACATACTAGGAAACCAAATTCGGCAACAGACAAGAAGGGTTATTATACATTATGACCAAGTCTTATTTATCCTAGGAATATAAGAGTGGCTTAATATCTGATAATCAATTAATGTTACATACCATATCCATAAAATAAAACGAAAAAACACAAGAGCATGGCAACAGATACAGAAAGATCATTTGACAAAATCTAACTCTAGTTCATGATGATGATAGTAATAACAATAAACTCTCAACACACGAGAGTGTCTGTGAAAACCCCATGGCTATCATCATCCTTAACAGGAGAGACCAGCACCGCTCCTCCCAGGATGAGGAACGAGAAAGGATGTCCTTCCAGCGCCTCTGTCCCACACTAAAGAGGCTCTAACCTGGGCCACGGGCGGAGAAGTGAAAAGCATCCGGACTGGACAGGGAGAAGGAAAACCATCTCTAGTCACTGAAGACAGCATCTTCTCTACAGAAACTCCTAAGGAATCCAGCAGAAACCTACCAGAACCAACAAACAAATTCAGCAACATTGCAGGAGACACAACCAGTATACAAAAATCAATTACAGGGGCTGGCACTGTGGCATAGAGGGTAAAGCTGCCGCCTGCAGTGCTGGCATCCCATATGGGTGCCGGCTTGAGTCCTGGCTGCTCCACTTCTAATCCAGCTCTCTGCTATGGCCTGGGGAAGCAGTGGAAGATGGCCCAAGTGCTTGGACCCCTGCACCCACGTGGGAGACCCGGGAGAAGCTCCTGGCTCCTGGCTTCGGATTGGCTCAGCTCCAGCCATTGTGGCTATTTAGGGAATGAACCAGCTGATGGAAGACTTTTCTCTCTCTGCCTTTATGTAACTCTGCCTTTCAAATAAATAAATATATCTTTCAAAAATAAATTATATGTCTATACATTTGTAATTAACTCTATAATAGAATTAAGGCAGCAGTTAAGGCCCCACATTCCATATCAGAGCACCTGGGAGGTGAATGAACACCCTGGGGCAGCAGGTGATGGCTCAAGTTAGTTGGGTCCCTGACACCCACACAGGAGACCCACATTGAGTTCCGGGTTCCTAAGCCTCAGCCTGGCCAAGCCTTTGCTGTCGTGAGAAATTTGGGAAGGATATCAAAAGCGGATGGAAGATATCCATCTGTCTCTCTGCCTTTCAAATAAATAATTCATTTTTAAAATTACATTTTTAGGACCACGAAAAAGAACACAACATTTAAGAAAAAATTGAACACATCAAAGTACAAAAGCTACTCTGGACAGCAGAAGGCACTACTGAAAGAAATCAAAGGCAATTTAAATTAAAAAAAACAAAAACCCTGCAAGGTCAGGGTTCAGAAAGCTTACTAACGGTAAGATGGCAGAACTTCCCAGACTGAAGTGTAGACTTGATTTGTTAAAAGCCCAGCTGGATCTCTGCAGAAACTGGTGAACAGATTCTGAAATTCATATAGAAATGCCATGGGCCCAGCACAGCCGTCTCAGAAAAAGTGAAGTTCAAGGAACTCGGTACACACAGCGACGGCAATCAAGGCAGCTGGCACTGGCATCAGCAGGCACACAGGTCAATGAAGCATGATTTAGAGTCCAGAAATAAACCCACAGATTTATGGTGAATTCATTTTCAGTGAGGATACCAAAATAAATCACCAGTGAACAGCCCCTTCAATGAATGGTGCTTGACAAATGGATACTCACATGCAAAAGAATGAAGTTTTATATTCAACCTTTCATGAAAATTGGCTTATAATGGATCATAAACCCAAATAAATGCAAGGACTAAAACGACTTAAAAAAAAACACTCTCCTGGGGCCGGCGCTGGGGCATAGTGGGTAAAGCTGCCACCTGCAGTGTCGGCATCCCACACGGGCGCTGGTTTGAGTCCCGGCTGCTCCACTTCCGATCCAGCTCTCTGCTATGGCCTGGGAAAGCAGTGGAGGACGACCCAAGTCCTTGGTCCCCTGCCCCCACGTGGGAGACCCGGAAGAAGCTCCTGGCTCCTGATCGGCATAGCTCCGGCCCTTGCAGCCATGTGGGGAGTGAACCAACGGATGGAAGACCTCTCTCTCTCTCTCTGTCTCTCCTTCTCTCTGTGTAACTCTGACTTTCAAATAAATAAATAAATCTTAAAAAAAAAAAAACTCAGAAAAAAGCATAAGTCTGCCTTCACAAGGTTAGTGTGTGGCACATCGGGATAAGTCACTGCTTGGGACACTGGCATCCCATATTGGAGCGCTGGTTCAAGTTCCAGCTGCTCCACTTCTGATCTAGCTCCCTGCTAATGTTCCTGGGAAAGTAGCAGAAGATGTCCAAGTACTTGGCCCTGCACCCACGTGGGAGACCCAATCAGAGTTCCAGGCTCCTGGCTTCGGCCTGTATAGCCCTGACTGTTGTGATCATCCGTGGAGTGAACCAATGGATGGAAGACCTCCCTCTCCCTCTCCCTCTCCCTCTCTCCCTCCTTCTCCCCCTCTTTCTCTAATTCTGTATATCAAATAAATAAATAAATACATACATACATACATTTAAAGAAAAAAACAGCCCATCTGAAGTGCCAGTTCAAGTCCTGGTTGCTCGCCTTTGATCCAGCTCCCTGCTATGGCCTGGGGAAAGCAGCAGAAGATGGCTCAAGAGCTTTGGGCCCCTGCCACCCACGATGGGGGCCCGGAAGCTCAAGGCTTCTGGCTTCAGCCTGGCCCAGCCCCAGACGTCGCAGCCATCTGGGAAGTGAACCAGCAGATGGAAGAGCTCTCTCTCTCTGTGTCTCCCTCTCTCTCTCTGTATCTCTGCCTTTCAGATAAATCTTTTTACAAAGATTCTTACACTTGTTGACCATTTGTATGTCTTCTTTGGAGAACTGTGTATTCAAATACAATTAAAAATCGAAGTTACTTTATTACTATTTGAGAAAGAAGAGAGAAACAGACAAGAGAGAGCGAGTCCCCATCTGCTCGTTCACTACCCAGATGCCCACAACAGCCGAAGTGGGATCAGGCTGAAGCCAGGAGCTGGGAACTCCATCCAGGTCTCTCACGTGGGTGTCAGGCACCCAAGTTCTTGAACTATCACCTGCTGCCTCCCAAGGCACACGTTAGCAGGAAGCTACCTCAGGACTCAAATCTAGGCACTGTGATATGGGATGTGGGCATCTCGATGGGTATCTTAGTTATTTGATCGTTTTAAAAAATCATGACTGTTTTAAAAAATCATGACTGGGGCTGGTGTTGTGGGTGGCAGGTAAGGCTACTTCCAGCAGCGCGAGTATCTCATATGGACGCTGGTCATGTCCTGGCTGCTCCACTTCTTTTAATCCAGCTCCCTGCTGGATGGCCTGGGAAAAGCAGCAGATGATGGTCCACGTAGGGGACCTGGTTAAAGCTCCTGGCTTCAGCTTAGCCCAGCCCTGGCCAACAGATGAAAGATCTCCCTGTCTTTCCCTCTCTCTAGCTCTGTCAAATAAATAAATCTTTAAAACATGATGACTTATTTGAGAGGTGGAGAGACTGATCTTCCATCTGCTGGTTCCCTCTCCAGATGCTGGGGTGGGAGCTGGCAGAGGGAATTCCATCTAAGTCTCCCACGTGGGTGGCAGGGACCCGACTATTTAAGGCATCATTACCTGCTGCCTCCCGGGCTCTGCACTAACGAGAAGCCGGAGTCAGGAACTGGAGACAGGCATGGAGCTCAGGCACCCCCGTGGGGCTGCAGGCATCGTAACCAGCAGGCAGGATGCCCACTGTGACATGTGACCGCGGAACTGAGAGTCTGTCACACGTCCTAGACGCCAGGTCCTTATCAGTATGACTGCAGGCATTTTCACCCATCCTGAGAGCTTTTTTATTAAAGATGTTTATTTATTTATTTGAAAGGCAGAGTTACAGAACGACAGAGACAGAGAGAGCGAGTGAGCACTGGCCCCGTGAGTTGTCCTTTTTACTTTGTAGTATCATTAAACACACTTTGGGGCTGGCGCTGTGGCACAGTGGGTAAAGCTGCTGCCTGCAGTGCCAGCATCCCATATGGGCACTGGTTCAACTTCTGGCTGCTCTCTACTATGACCTGGGAAAGCACTAGAAGATGGCCCAAGTCCTTGGGCCCTTGCACCTGCATGGGAAACCCGGAAGAAGCTCCTGGCTCCTGGCTTCCTATTGATGTCGCTCCAGCCATTGCAGCCAACTGGGGAGTGAATCAGTGGATGGAAGACCTCTTTCTCTGTATAACTCTGACTTTCAAATAAATAAATAACTCTTTAAAAAAATTTTTTTTTAATTTTGATGAAGTCCAATTTATCTTGTATTTTCTTTTGTTCCATATGCTTTTGATGTTTTATTTAAGAAGACTTTGCCTAACTGAGGTCATGAAGGTGGACTTTATTTTTTAAAAGATTTATTTAGGGGCTGGCACTGTGGCATAGCAGGCAAACCTGTTGCCTGTAGTACGACATCCCATATGGGTGCTGGTTCAAGTCTCGGATGCCCCACTTCTGAACCAGCTCCCTGCTATGGCCTGGGAAAGCAGTAGAAAATGTCCCAAGTCCTTGGGCCCCTGCACCTGCTTGGGAGACCCGGAAGAAGCTCATGGCTCCTGGCTTCAGATTGGCACAGCTCCAGCCATTGTGGTCATCTAGGGAATGAACCAGCAGATGGAAAACCTCTCTCTCTGCCTCTGCCTCTCTGTAACTCTGCCTTTCAAATAAAAATAAAATCTTTTAAAAAATGCTCAACACCACTAACCATTAGGGAATAACAATCTACGACCAGGGGACCGGCATTATGGGAACAGCAGGTTAAGCCACCGCCTACAATTCCAGCATCCATATGGGTGCCAGTTTGAGTCCTGGTTGCTCCACTTTGGATCCAGCTCCCTGCTATTGTGCCTGGCAAAGCAGCAGATAAACCACCAAGTACTTGGACCCTTGCACCCATATGGGAGATCTGGATGAAACTCCTGGCTTTGACCTGGCCTAGCCCCAGCCGTTGCTGCCATTTGGGGAATGAACCATCAGATGGAAACTCTCTCTTTCTGTCTCTCTGTAACTCTGTCTTTTGAATAAATAAAATAAATCTTAAAAAGAAAAGAAAGAAAAAGAAGAACCCATAACCAAGGACAGGCTTGTGGCATAGCAGTTACGTTGCCTGTTGGGTCACCCACATCCCATACGGCAGTGCCTGATTCTGGGCTCCTGGCTTCCACTTGGCCCAGCCCTGGCTACTGTAGGCATTTGGAGAGTGAACTAGCAAGCAGAAGATCTCTGTTTCTTTCTCTGCTTTTCAAATAAAATTAGTAAATCATAATCACATACTTTCGCATACCCACGAGGATGGCTGGAGAGAGACAACAGTAAGCTTTGGCAGGGATGTGGAGCAACCGGAACCCTCCAACACTGCCTGTGGGGATACAGAGTGGCACAGACACTTTGCAAAGGTTGCCAGTCCCTCAAAATGTTGAGCACACCCAGTTACCACCTGCCCTGGCAATCCCTCTCCAAGGCA